GCCGCTCGCGATAAGCCGCCAAGGCCCAAACCGAGATGTGAAGTGGGCAGCGGAAGAGGGGACCCGACCCCTCCCCTGCTGAGTCGTTGGTGATCGGTGTCTGTGCCAGGGTGGTGGGGCACCCTCCCCGATGGCCGTGACACCGGCCGGTGTCCCACCGGCACAGCCTTTGCTCTCCATCCCCTGACCCCATGTACGGGTGGTACCCAATACTCACGTGGCCCCTTTCCTTTGTACCCCCCCAGGCTCTGCTTTCTCCTCGGAGGCCAAACCAAAGCAGAGAGCTGCCCGGGATGAAGGTCCTCCTTCTGCTCCTGCTCTCCCCTCTCCAAGGTAGGCTGTCCCAGCTGCATTCTGCCCTGGGATGGTGGGCCAGGTTTGGGCTGCTGGAAGTAGTTGGCAGCCCCCAAAAATTGGCTGGGGGACACCGAGGGGCATTTGCAGCCGTGATGTCCACAGAGGTGAAACGTCTCATGGGCTGACCTGCCAACAGTGGGGTCTCTGGGGCAGGATGGGTCCTTTTCAAAGAAAGGAGATGCTCTGCATCCGTCCCTTCTGGAGTTGGAGAGCTCCTCCGTTGGTCTCTGCAAACGCGGGTGGTGGCACCTGGAAGAGGGTAGCACCAACAGATGGGAGGTCCTGCTGCCCTGGGAGCCCTAGCGAATCCTCCCAGCCTGGCCATGGGGACATCAAGGAGGTGGCCAACGTCACACAGCCCATCCAGGCAGAGAGCCTGGTGTGCCACACACCATAGTTGCCACGGGGTTGCGGTGTTTGCTGAGGTTGGCCACCTGCTCTGACTGAACTGGCATCTCCGTGCACTTGTGCAACACAGGGGTAGGAGCCAGCAGCTACCAGGGAGAGGACTTACGCTTCTGCGGTGACCGAAACCAGACCCAGAACAGCACCATCATCTACGAGCACAGCCCTGCCAACATCTCCATCAAGAACACGGCCCAGGCCCTGATCATAAAAAGACCCTTTTTGCCAAACAGGACAAACTCTTACTTCGAGTACAGGTTGCCCCCTGCTTTGGGCAGGTACCGCTTCTGCATCTACTGGTTCAAGGCCAACAGGACCCTGAGGCTGGTGTACGGGAAGCAGAGCTTCCTCTTGGATGAGGACCAGTCCAGCAGCATCACCTCGGCGAAGGAGAGTCAGAAGACTGAAAGAACCAGCACCCCCATCTTCAACGTGTCCTGCATCTCAAAGGGTGGGAAGAACACCTCCCTTGACAGTAAAACTGAATACTTCTTTTTAGGTAAAGGCAATTCAATGTTATTTTAATGAAATAAGGGGTCCGTTTCGTCCCCAGCCCATTCTCGAGCCGTCAGCAGAGCGGTGGTGGTATCCCAGTATGTGCTGCAGCATGACGATGGGAAGACACAGCTAAAGGGTGATGGGACACATTTTCGCTCGAAGGAGCCCAGAGGCAGCTCCTGGTACCCCCGGCTCCCTAGAGATGAAGATGGAGATTTTAAAAAGGGTTTTGCCTCCTAAAATCCCGGGAAATCATGTGCTTTGCAGAGGTCTCCCATCTGCAATGCTAGGCACCTAGCTAGCCTCAGCCACCCTGGTCCCCGTGGTCTCAGTGGGAGCTGAGCTCCAGGTGGCAGAAGTCCTCTGGGTTGGGGTCACCTTGAAGCCCTCTGCCTTCTGCTCCCACCAGGGCTGTGCCTGGTCGGTTTGGGGTGCGAGGAACCTGGCTCTGCCTGTGCATTTCATGGCATTTCCTTTCGTGTGCCCATCACCCTCTCCAGAGAGCATGCCCACCTGTGAGCAAGATGTGAAGGGACAGCTCACCCCCTTGGACAGCCTCATCGCCCAGCTCCTGGTGCCAGCCGTGGGAGCCACAGAGCAGCAGGTGCTTCGGCGGTGAGTTCCTGGCACATGCCATTCCCACTGCTGCCGGCGCGGCGCCGACTGCATCCTGCTCACTGCGCCCCTTCCCTGACAGCAAACTTGAGGAGCTGGAGAAGACGCTGGCTGAGGTGGAGCTCGAAGGGCAGAACCAGACTTTTGGGAAGGCCACCGTGCAAGCGACCGTCCTGAGGGTCCAGCCCACTCTGGTTCCTCAGCATCTGGTCTTTGCTTCCCAAAGAGAGGTGGGTCCTGGGCAGATTGCCCTGGTGGTCTTGGACTACTGGGATCCTCTCCCAACCTCTTTCCTGACTAATCTCTCCTTGCAGGAGGGCGGAGAGGTCCATGGGTTCACAGTGGACCTGCCGAGCAGTCTGTTTGTGATGGCAAAGGAGAGGGAGGAGGTGGTGGAGCACAGGGTGCTCCTCATAGACATCAACAGCCAGACCATGTTCCAGGTAATGCCTATGTGCATGGCATGATGGGGTGTCCCCGCTGTGCTGGGGGCTCCAGTGGTACAGGGCAGCAGGGATGCTGCCCAGACCAGGGTGCCAGTGCTAGCTTGGAGAAGATGCTTCAAAACCCCCCCTGCAGTACTGCCTTCAGCTTTGGGGTCCCCAACACGAGAAGGACATGGAGCTGTTGGAGCAGGTCCAGAGGAGGCCAGGAAGATGATCTGATGGCTGGAGCACCTCTGCTATGGAGACAGGCTGAGAGAGTTGGGGCTGTTCAGCCTGGAGAAGAGAAGGCTCCGGGGTGATCTTATAGCAGCCTGCCAGTACCTAAAGGGGCTACAAGAAAGCTGGAGAGGGGCTTTGGACAAAGACATGGAGTGACAGGACATGGGGCAATGGCTTTAAACTGAAAGAGGGGAGATTTCGATGGGATCTAAGGAAGAAATTCTTCCCTCTGAGGGTGGTGAGGCACTGGCACAGGTTGCCCAGAGGAGCTGTGGCTGCCCCATCCGTGGAAGTGTTCAAGGCCAGGTTGGATGAGGGTTTGAGCAACCTGGTGTAGTGGAAGGTGTCCCTGCCCATGGCAGGGCGGTTGGAACTGGGTGATCTTTAAGGTCCTTTCCAACCCAAACTATTCTGTGATTCTATGATTCTGTGAGCTAGAAGCTCGATGGGGAAAGAGGCATGGCAGCTACTTCCTGGGGACTCTCACCTGCTTCATGCCCAGCAGCTCTGCTTTTCCACACTGCCACTGCATCCTTTTCTCCAACAGGATGAAAACAGCAGCCACGTCCTGGGTGACAAGGTGGTTGGCATCTCTCTGGTGGACACGATAGTGGCCAACCTCTTGGACCCAGTGGTCCTCACCTTCTTCCACGACCAGCTGCCGGTAGGTGGGGAAACAGCCTCATCAAACCTGATCCCACCAGGAATGGAGGGACAAGGAGAGCTCGGGCCCTGCCAGCTTAGAGAGTGGTCACAATCTAACAGGCCCATGCCCTTGGTCTGCCTGTACGAGGTCTGCTACTTCTTCTGGGGCTGTATCACAATCATGGCTTCACCGTGTGCGCTGGTGGTGGCACTGCCTGCGCCTGGCCAGGAGATGCTGCTTTGCAGATCTGTCCCCTCCAGCACAATCTCCAGGGCTGGGGATGCTTTAACAGTCCCTTGGCTCATTCATGGCCCTGTCAGGGTCCCTTGTTCAAAAAAGGGGACCTGGGAGGAGGCGTCTGCTCCACGAGCTGCCAAGAGAACGGTCTCTGCCTGGAGCCCGCTCTCATGATACAGGATGGTTTGTCTCCTGAGACCGTCTGACCTCCTGCCCCATGTCCACCCCTATGAGATGTGCTGGCCGGGCCACAGACCCCGAGCTGCATCCTCACCGGGGCGCGTGGTTTTGTCATTGCAGAGGAGCGTAACCCCACTGTGCGTCTTCTGGCAGGAGGACACCACCGGTGAGTGCTCCCACGCTTGGCCGTGAAGCCAGGCGCTGCCTCTGCTCCTTCCACAGGGTACCGCAGACCCGTTGGTAGAGGGAAAAGTCGCTTTGCACCTCCCTTCCTCCCTCCACCTCCATCATCCTTTCCCAAGGGATTTATTTGGGTTTTTTTTTACCTCCAGAGCTAACCGAAGAGCTTTCTCCCTCCCTGAGGCTGGGTCCTCATGCTGAGGTTGCCATCTGAGTGTGTGTGCTTGGCATGGGACAAGCTGGGCCCCCCCACTTTTGTCCTTCCCCCGCCACGGACACCTTGCCCTGAAGACCCACCAAGCTGAAGCAGCTGTTCCTGCTGCTCACCGGACGCTCTCCTTTTCTCTTGCGCAGCCAGCTCTGGGAGTTGGGACAGCTATGGTTGTACAACAGTGACGGGGGACAACCAGACGGACTGCAGGTGCAACCACCTCACCTACTTTGCCGTGCTGATGGTGGGTAACACCTTCCTGCAGCTCTCTACATCATTCTCACCGGCTGTTCTTCCTCACCACCTCTCATTCCTCCTTCTCCTCAGGTATCATCCCCGGAGATCACCTACACACACAGGGATTACCTGAGTATCATAACCTACATCGGCTGCCTGATCTCAGCTTTGGCATCTATTTGCACCATCTTCTTCCTCTACTTCAGGTACAGTCTGACAGTTCACCCCATGTTCCCTGTCTGCATCCTGTTCGTTGCCACTACACCTGGGTGGGCACAGGCTCTCCAAATGCAGTCGGTGGCCTGGCTAGAAGTGTGATGAAGGAGCCGTGCTTGGAGAAAGCGGAGTTGTCCTCTCCAGAAACCACCCCCTTGGGCAGGTCTCCCACAGGGCGCTCAAAAACTCCGTCTATTTTCAATGATTTTGAAAAATCAGCTTGGTAGTAGTTATGGATCTGGCAAGTAGAAGCCTGCAAAGATCTTTTCAAGGGTCCAGTGGAGAACATGAGTGTCTTCTCCTGAGTCATGTCCTAGATGGATGATTCAGAGCTGAAATGATGCCGCTCCCTATGCCACGATGGCCTAGACCTGAAAAGCAGGGTCAGGTGCAGGGACCTGAATTTGCACATGTAACGGGTTGTCCCACCTGTGGGGTTAGGCTCTCAGCCCCTGACCCCACCAGAGGGCCTCCTTGCTCTTATGGTGGGGACGAGTTGCCCCATGCAGAGCTGTAGGGTGCTGTGGGGCACCAAGGATGCTGGCCAGGCATGGTGGTGAGGTCTCCCCACCTTGCTTCTCCAGAAGCAAGCAGCGAGACCAGATCACAAGCATGCACATCCACATGAACCTGCTGGGTGCCATCTTCCTCCTGGACATCACCTTCCTCATCTCTGAGCACTTGGCTTCCAGCAGCAGCGAGGTAGTCTGCAGAGCCGGGGGGGTAGTCCTGCACTTCTCCCTCCTGAGCTGCCTCACCTGGATGGGCATCGAGGGCTACAACCTCTACCGGCTTGTGATTGAAGTCTTCAATTCCTACCACGACCACTTCCATCTCAAGCTCTGCCTGGTGGGCTGGGGTGAGCATGGAGGAGGTGGAGATGCCTTCAGTGCTGGGGCGATGGGGTGGAGGGGCACCTGGGTAGGTCTTCCGCACCGTATATGGTGCATGGATGGGGATGAAGACATAGCTGTGGGGGAGCAGATGTCTGAAAGCAGAGGGGTTTCTCTGGCGAGAGACTCGGTGGAGGAGGAGAGTTGATGGCTGAGAGCAGAAGCTGGTGCTAGAACAAGGGTGGGTCACCCTGGGGGGTCACCCAGCAAGGGAGGCACATGAGAGCCACAGCTTGGGGTCTTTAAATGGAAATAATAGAATAGAATTGAATTTTCTTCTGAAAGAAGCACCCAGGACAGCTCAGAGAGATGGGCTTGATGCAGGAAGCACCCACACATCTCTGCTGTGCTTTGGGCAGGAGGCCACGGTAGGAAGATCTCTTGATCTTTTGTGGCCTGAAATCCCATGACCCCAGGAGACCCCTGGCTGGGGTCGGTGCAGGGCCAGGTGCTCGCTCCTGGGCTGGGGCTTATGCCGGGCGTCCTTGTTGCATCCTCCGTCCTTGGGTATCCCTCAGGAGGGAGGACGTTGGTTTATACTCTATGGGAAAAATGGGACAAAAAATCCTTCCAGAAGGTCCAGGGGCCAGGGTGGCTGCTTCACTCTGTTCTTGGCACCCAGGAATCCCCTTCCTCTGCGTGATGCTGATCCTCCTGATGAGCTGGACGAACTACGGCCCCTTCTCCATTCCCGTCTATGAATCCGTTGGTGGCAAATCCACCAACGCAACCATGTAAGTCATGGGAAACGGGTTGCCTGGTCCCTGATCTTAGATGAAGTCAACTGGCCAAACCTTCACCGTGTCCTACAGTCTTTCCTTAGCCCTCCTGTGGCTTTTCTGGGGCTTCGTGCAGGGTGCTGGCGCGGTATCCCCGCTCTGGGTTTAATTGAGCTGGGTCCTGTGTTTGCCCCGTACCTTCATGCTTCTCCCAACCTTTCCACCTCGTGCCCCCATCGGACATTGCAGCGTCACTCTCTGCCCTTTCTCCTCCTTCCAGATGCTGGCTCACGAGCCCCCTGATCCACAATGTCGTGAACCTGGGTTTCTTCAGCCTGGTGTTCCTCTTTAACTCAGTCATGCTGGGGGCCATGCTCCGGGAGATCCTCCGGCAGAACAAGAAAGGCCACAAGCTCAAGCATGTCCTTGCCCTCTTTGGGCTGAGCATCCTGCTGGGCATCCCCTGGGCGCTGGTCTTCTTCTCCTTCACCTCCGGCGTCTTCCGCCTCGTCTCCCTCTACATCTTCACCATCATCAACTCCCTCCAAGGTGAGGCTGGCATGCTGGGCTCCTCCGAAGGACACCGGGGCTTTCATGGGGCACTGGTGGGGCAGTGATGGGATATGAAAGGAGCCGTCCCTGGCAGGCTGGCTGGCTCACCCTCGGCTGCTGTTGGCCCTTAGAGGCGATTCACCCAGCCTTCCTCTCTCCCCTCCCAGGTTTCCTCATCTTCCTTTGGTACTGGACCATGGTGCTGCAAGCGAGAAGGTCCCCTGACTCACAGAGCAGCTCCGACAGCGTCAAACTGCAGCCCAACAGCAGCCAGAGCCACCTCGGCTGAGCCCCGCGATGGCCGCGCCGTGCCGGGGCTCCGCGCCTGGAGGACGGCCGTGGGAAGGACCGACGCCGTCCGCTTTGCTACCGCACCCGCCTCGTAGGGCTGCTGGGGCCCAGGGACCCGCAGCGGGGCTGGCCGTCCCGAGCTCCTCCTCCACAATTGTCCCATCCCGCTGTGTCCCACCGGGCGCATCCCTTGGCTTGGCATCCGAGGGGCAGGAGGGGTGGATGCTCGCCCAGGCAGCGAGGGCTGCAGAAAGCGGAAGGGGCAGGGACAGGGTCCCACTGCCTCTGGACGTCCCCTCCCGTGCTCCAAGGCCAGGGATGATGGGTGGGAAAGGCCCCATCTTCAGCCCTTGGTGGTGCTCACCAAGAGGGTCCTTCTCCAGTGAAGACAGAATAACTGCCTCCGCAGCGCCCTCTAGCAGCTGAAATAATCTATTTTTGTTAATTTTGTTGAATGTATATTTTTGGATGCTGTAGATGTTTAACGAGCGTGCCCACACACCAGCCTGTGCCCCCTGCTGGGAGCGTGGCTCGCCGGGCTCTCTGTTGGGTGTGTTGGCGGGCTTTCCGATGGGATCCATCCGTCAGCCGCAGTTGCCCCATCCCCGGGGCAGGACGTGGCGTTTCACCCCGTAGGATCCTGCTGAGCTGGGACTGGTAACGGCGCTCCCAGCAGAGCACCGGTACCCTGGTGCCGTAGAGGTCGGGGTGGTGGAGGAAGATGTTGCAGCTCGGGAAGCTGCTGGTCTCCGGGGACTGTCACTACCCACCAACGAGGGAGCCTGGCGGAGGGTGGGAATCCAAAGAGGGAGACTTCACGGGACGGGAATCGCCGCCCTCGGTGGCTGCAGGGCGAGGCAGAGCGCGGCTCTCCTGGCCGTGCCACTTGCCAACGCAGCACCGTGTCTCCCATCCCACCAGTTCCCCTCCAGATGATGCCCTGCTTGCGGCTCATCTCCCTCCATCTCTCTCCCAGCTCCCGGCTGGTGCAGGGGGACCTTCCTGGGAAGGGGATGTTTCATCCCCAGCAGCTCACGGCGATGCCTGGCAGCGTGCCTGGTTTGGGAGCGGGATGCTCCAACGTATTGCCGGGCTGGCAGGGACCATTGGCCGAGGATTCGGCAGGATGGGAGGGAAAAGGGGAAAGAAAAAAGCCCCAAGTCAGCCGGGGGAAGCGGCCGAGGGGGAAATGAGGTGGCTCTGACCGTTAGTGCCGTTGCTGCGAGCTGGGGCCGGAGATCACTTGCCCACAGGAAGGCACCAGGGGGTTGCGGG